CCGCCCCAAGGCCAGGTTCCACAATACGCCCCCCCCGCGCCGCCAAGCCCCCCTCCCCATCAATTGAGAATGGCAACCAGATGGCGGCGCGGGGAGGCGTATTGTGGAACCTGGCCTTGGGGCGGCAGGGAGAGTAAATCCGGCCCTGAACATGTGAAAAAAAATTCAAATGTCAAGTACGCAGTTTGGTCACAGACAATGCTGAAAATGTGTCCAAAATGAGAAGAAATTTAGAACAATGTGAAGAAACTACCAAGCTAATAACATATGGTTGTAGCTCTCATTTGATGCACCTCCTAGCCGAAGATTTCTGTGTCCCAGAAATAAAGAGTAATGTATCTGAAATTGCTAAATACTTCCGTAACAATCATTTTGCAGCATCAGCTCTGAAAATAATGGGTGGAACCAAGCTAACGCTCCCACAAGATGTTAGGTGGAACTCTGTAGTGGACTGTTTTGAACAATATATAAAAAACTGGCCTATTCTGATGACTGTTTGTGAGCAAAATCGAGAAAAAATAGATGGCACTATCACAGCCAAAATCCTCAACATTGGGCTTAAGAGAAATGTTGAACATATGCTGAGCATCCTGAAACCCGTTTCTGAAGCTTTAAACAAAATCCAGAAAAATGGTTGTTGTGAATGGAACTGTCGGTGAGTCAACAGCGGGTCAGAGGAGGAGCCGCTGCGGGACAGGGATGATAGTTGCTCTTTAAAAATGATGCTTGAAATCGACTTGATTTAAATCAAATGCACCCTGCAGTACATATCTGCAATACATGCACATTTTATCATTTTAAAGGACTGGGTGGTGTTAGCCCTGGACAGTTTTTTTGCTACACTACTCAAACCATCCCACTGTGTTCATCTCCAAAGCATAGGTACTAATTGACTTGTAGTCCGAAGATAAGAACTGGGAGGGCTAATTAGACTCTTCCAGATAGCACAGGACAGCTCTGATGAAAGATCAACAAGTATTTATGCACTTATATAACAAATATAATAAAATGCTTACAAATGTATACTGAGCAGCCCAAAATGGAGCAAATAAAAAAGTTCATAGTTAGGGTTGTAATAAAAATAATATTTTGTAAATATATATTACCACTTGGGGTTTGGTTTGTCACTTTGTATTAATTACTATATAGAGTGTTATACTATTATTGTTGTTTATTATCCTGCAGTAGTCCGTTATTCACATTTAGGTGTTGGCTGCTTACATTTTGTGTGAAGAGCGTTTTCTGTCACTGTTTAGGGTTGGTTTTTCTTTGATTTTGAATTTTCATAGTTAGGGCTGACAATGTGATGTTAAAAACTATCCTCACCCTTCCCTATCATGCTGCACACTGTCCCTAGTTAATGTGGTTGAGGTTCCATGATACCTTACACTCTTTGTGGACCCTAAGCTGCGAGTGCCTACATGCTGACTTCAGCTTGGAGTCCAAGCTACCATGTAAGTAAGTAAGCTACTTGGAGTAAGCTACCATGTTTAACATTGTAGTTTTAATTACACTTTCATTGCAGCTTACCTGATGATATACTAATAGCAATTTTCCTTCAGTTATCAGTGGAACATTTCTTATAAACAAAATGCATATGGGTGATATCAAGGCATACTGGGCCATTTACTTTATTATAATTTTTTTTTTTTTTTTATGCACTGAAAAATAATTTTCTCTGATGTTCATTGAGGGACAGTTCACTGAAGGTGGCAGCATAACCCATGGTACAGACTCCGATGATGGGCTTTATGTAATGCTTTAAATTAGAGGTCCACTTTAAGTTGCCCTAAAGCAGCCAGTAGGGCATTTTCCCCAAAAATTAATTTCTTGTTTTGTAGATAAGAAAAAAATGGGGGTGCTCTACACAGCAACCACTGAAACAGAATTCTTTGCAACAGCAGGTTGGTCTCAATTTTTATTAGTCAAGCTTAGCTTAGATAAACTCCTCAGTTGCAGCCCACACTGCGAATTATGCAGTATACTCCATTAGCAACCACATCTAAAAAGGAGAACTATGAGGTGAGTGATTTCCACTCATCCTCATAGTTAGAGCCGACCTGTGACAAAGAAGCTGTCACAGGTGGGCTCTATCGATCGGGAAGTGAGCAGAAACATACACCGATCCGCTCACTTCCCGATCCTCTCCCTGCAGAGAGCGGTGACTGTCAGTCATCTCACCCCGCAGGGATTCCCCCCTCCCCTCTCCATTCCTCCAGCAATGACTGGAGAAACGAACGGGAGACGGGGTGGGCACAGCTGGCTCTGCCTCTAGATAGGCAGAGCCCACCATCACTCACACAGCTGGGTGGATCTCAACTGTATTGTCGGGATCCGTCCCGGCTGCGGCGCTCTCAGTATATCGCGGGCAATAGCTCACTATATACTGAACTTTAGGTCACGGGAGAAGGTTAGTACATGTCCTCCCGTGAACCTAAAAAGAACTATGGGGAAAAACACTTACCCCATAGTTCTCTTTTAAGTTCTAGAACAATGGCAAAAGGTTTGCCAAGGTAGTGATCTGCCATAGCCAGCACAAAGGCACAGAAATAAAACATGCAAATACAATCACCATTCAAAAGGTCTTGCACCATCTCCACAGCTGACTTGGATTCAGAGGTCGCTGGCCACTCTGTAACTCCAGTTTTTATTCCTTCAGACAAAACCTGACAAAACATCAATTTCAGAAACTTCCTTAAGAACAAATAGACAAATTATTTTGAGCCAAGATGCTTAATAACACAAAAATATACCAATGAATTGCAGTTCTTTAGAAGGAAGTTGCTTAGAATTTTAAAGGGATTAGCCCACTCAGTAAATGAAGTCTTTCCCTGGCTTTTTGCAGCAACTTATTGGAATGTTATCAGGCTGATGAAGGGGAGCAATTCCCTGAAACCTGTTCTGCCCCTGGGACATAAATGCCGAAGTGGGAACTAAAGTTTTAAGCTTGGGCTGTTTAAATGTTTCCACTTCCAAATGCTGATGTTTTCCCTCAACTTTACCACTTTGTCCCTGGCCAAGAGAGTGCATAGAGCCCAATGTCAGTGTATAAACCCAATGTGATCTGCATCTTTTACCCATGTGAGTGTATAAACCCAATGTGATCCGCATTTTTACACATGTGAGTGCAAAGTGTATTTTCTCAAACGTGTTTAAAATGGCCACAAATTATCCCTCCAAAGAAAGGCTTGTGCAACATGAGTCTTCAAGGGCTTTTTGGACTCTCCTCATTAGCGCTGCTAGATAACTATTTTTTCTCTTTTCTAAACTGAATCTTCTGCTGACTTCTTACAGCTTTTGTGGACTCCAGCAAATAAGATCTTCACTTTATAGTCTCTTTCTCCACCCAGCACATTGTTAGGAATATTGCGAACAGGCAAGAATCTTTTTTTGCAAAAGAGACATAGCGGGGAATTTATCAAATCTGGAGCAGCTGTGCATGGCAACCAATCAGCTTCTTTCTTCAGTTTGTTTAGTTAAGATTTGATGAAAGAGAGAAGCTGATTGGTTGCTATGCACGGCTGCTCCAGATTTTGTCTGCTTCAGTTTTGATAAATTCCCCTCACAGTATGTATTTTCTGCAATAAAAAGCCTGACTGTTCACACTTTTCTGTAAAGTTCCACTGTAAGATCTAATAGTTGCTCTCTTGTGACTGACCTCATATTAACACAAGTCATCTACCATCTTTTTCCTGTGCATAGCAGAGACTGATGTTTACATTCCTCGATGAAAGCCAAAAGGAAAGTCAGAGCATGAATACCAGGAATTGTCAGCTTTTTTCTTGCCATCAAGGAGGTCAAGATTTTCTCCATAGGTAAAGGAGAAATCTCTTTTGAAGTGATATTAACTGCCTCCGGGCCGGCCGAAGTAGAAAAACGGCCGGCCCGGAGCTCTCTAGATCTGAGCGGGCGTCTCTAGACGTCCGCTCAGACACGCCCCCTCAAAGGTTTAAAAGCTAATTAAAATGCTAATTAAATAATTTACAATGGATGCTGCGCCTTGATATTTAAAAGTTTTAGCTTCCTGCAGAATCAGCTGGCCCCTGAGCAATGGTCCAGATATCCTAGTTTAGGGTGGCTCCTTTCCCTTGCAGGGTCCCATGGAGCCACCCTTGTGTGTGCAAGTAAGCTGTTATTGTCTCCACAAACATACAGTCACAAAAAGACAAGCCACTACCCTGCTTCCTGCCTCCCTAGTAGATAGACAGCTGCTGTTGACTTTGAGGTTTCTTGTCTTGTACTGGACAGGAAGTTCAGGGAAGCTGAGCTAAGAGAGTTGGAGCTGTTCAGAAACATGTTTACTACAAGTGCTTGGGCAAAAATGTAAAGAAAAATACTATAATGGGCAATGAGTGAGAAAAAAATAAGTTTCAGAGTTTAATGCTACTTTAACCCCTTCCCGACGATGGTCCAGTTATAGACTGGTGATGGAATAATTCTGTCATGCGGGAAAACGAGCGCTGGTCCATGGATGGACCAGCGCTCACGGGGTTTGTGCTGTTGATGGGTCCCTCGGTGTCTGAGGCAGACCCTGAACAGCAAATTAGGGGGTCCCAGCGATGTGATCACTGTGATAAGAATTTATATCTGCATATGTCACATCAAATTAAAGCCCATTTTGTTGTTTTTTTAAACCGGTATACAATATGTGTCGGTGCAATGAATGAAGAAGATGAGGAAGATGGCTAAAAGAGCATATAGCAAAAATGGCAAAATTGCTCCAGTCCCCAGAAACTAAAACATTTTCTGAGGCTGTGTCACTAAAGGGTTAAGCATACCAATGCTGGTTACACTAGTTAGACATGACATATGTGTGCTTCCAGTTTGTGTGGAAAGAAAAAAAAAAAAGTATATCTACCAGCAAAAACTCCAGCTCCTTATACATAGGGTAGACAGGACTTCTGGGATCTCCAGATTCCACCATGATATTCTGCAAAATGATATAGGATAGGAATTTAAAAAAAAGGAAAGCACTGTGTATTTTCCGTGATCACATATTTTGATTTAGTAATACAGCGTTCATCTTAAAGTACATCATTATCTGATTTTTTTATTAGTGCTTGATCTTCCCCATTTTACTTATTGCATTTATAGATTAACCCTTTTGCTGCAAGAGCTTCTTTACACACATTAAATTCAAAACTTTAGGCCTGAAGATTACTTAAACCCCCCAAAACAATATGGGGGAATATATTACAACTGGAGCAGACAGAATCTGGAGCAGTTGCCCATAGTAACCAATCAGCTTATCTTTTCAATTTGTTTAGTTAAAATTTGAAAATGAAAGAGAAGCCGATTGGTTGCCATGGACAACTGCTCAGTATTCTGTCTGCTTCAGCTTCGAGAAATTACCCTCTATGTATTTTCTGAAAGGTGAGACCCTAAAAAATAAAAATGTTGGCTGTTGCAAATTTTTACGTCACACAATATTAGTGCAACTCTTTATCAAAACAAAAATGTGAATGGACTCTAATAGTACAAATTGGCATGACACATTTACAAATGATGATGCTTTTGCTGCACTGACCAGGCAGTGAATTATTTCAGTACCTTGTAATTTGTAAAGATAAAGAGACCCTGTCACCAGACCGGTCATTTAAACAAAAATCTTACTGTAAGTATAGATGCATTTAACATTTTATGCATGTTATATACCTGTAAAAGCGTCCTTTTTGTAGACAACCAAAAGTCCACAGACTTCTGTGGGAGCTGCCATCTTGGATAAGATGTCAGCAACCCCTGCAGATTCACAGCTGTCAATTAAGTGATACTGTAAAGAAGGGGTCACTGAATGGCGAACCGCGGTCCAAACACAGGCTGAGTGGTGGTACTGTTCGGACTGCGATCGCCGAGCTGCGCTGGGTTATGGTGGCCGACAGTGGATACACTGGCGTCAGAGGTCGGTGCATCCACTGCCAGCTATAACCCAGAGCAGGCTCCTCCTCCGCTTCAGTCATTGGTTGCTAGGACCACTGGCATCCTAGCAAATAATGTCAGGCAGGGCCGGCTGCTACATCTACAAGTGAACTGGGTGGCTATATAGCCAACCAGATTACTTGTACTCGATTGCTGTTCTGTCCCGGCTGTGATTATGACTTCAGTTTGATGAAATTTTGATTCACCGGACCTCCTTGAATTTTAAATTCACTACCCTTGCTGTATAGTATTTTTTATTTGCTCCTTCACTGACTGCTAATTAAAAGGTTATGTAGGGAGGGCAGAGGAGCACACACAGTGGTCAGACACTCCCAGAAGAGGGCTATGACGCGAGGGGCTGTGCTAGGAGGGAAATGCCTAGACAATTTTCCTAGCAAATTCAAAGCCACATTGCAAGTGAATGGAAATCTATTATTGGGAAAAACACTGCAAGTAAGCATTTCAATTCATGCTTTTACCTTCAATTCTTGAAGTTCATGGCAGGGTCTCTTGGAACATTATGAGAATGACATGAGATGCGACATAAGACCTTACTGGCAAATATAGTTTCCAGCAACAGCGGCGCTCAGGACAGCACAAAGATGAACTGAGCGACCATTTTGTTCCCCAGTGACACAAGGCTGGCCCAGGATATCATTGCTGGGAGGGTGATAACCTTCAGAGGACTGCAAGGACATCAACATAAGAGGTGAAAAAATACAGAGAGAGGAAGCAGACAAATTCTGAAGCTGCTGTGCACTTCAACCAATCAGCTTTTCTCTTTAATTTTCAAATCTTAACTGAGCAAACTGAAGAGAGAAGCTGATTGGTTGTCATGCACAGCTAGTCCGGATTTTGCTGTTCCAGTTTTGATACATTTCCCTCCACTGCAGGTTTCTTTTTCCAGGGCCTGGAGTTCTGGTTTGGTATATTGTGTATGATTTACACTGACTAATGTCATACCAATGTGGCAGCAGAGGTCAAAGGTGGATTGTGCAAGATCTTGTCCACTCCATTCCAAACAAAATCGACTGTGACATTAGTTTGTGATTCTATAATGGAGCCTTCCTCTGTGCTAAATAAATCATACTGAGCGAATCCTCTTGTCTGCATCTAGTAAGAAAAAAAGAAAGCATAGCAAGAGAAACATATTAGAGTAGGCATATAAAATTGCCAATTTAAGTTCACCTTGAATTGTTCATCTTTTACAGTTAAATAGCTAGCATTAGTGTACAATGTTCCATAGCTTTGCTACTGTAGGCACAAAATTATAAATATATATACAGAAGTGAGTATACCCCTCACAGTTTTGTAAATATTTTATAACAACTCATGGCAAAGAACTCTCTGAGGATCTGAAAAAAAGAATTGTTGCTCTACATAAAGATGGCCTAGGCTATAAAAAGATTGCCAAGACCCTGAAACTGAGCTGCAGCATGGTGGCCAAGACCATACAGCGTTTTAACAGGACGGGTTCCACTCAGAACAGGCCTCACCATGGACGACCAAAGAAGTTGAGTGCACGTGCTCAGCGTCATATCCATATATGTCATGAGGGACTTATAAGTCTGGATTCACACCAAATGCATTTGGCTTGCGCTGGCCGTTTTTTCCACCGCACCACACTGTGCCCATAGAACTTATTGTCACTTGTGACATTTCAATAAAGTTCTAACGAAATGTTGTAGTGCAACTGCTGGTGTGACAGACTACAGCATTTACAGTGATCAGCCATAACATCATGACCACCTCCCTAATATTTAGTAGGCCCCCCTTTTGCCACCAAAACAGCCCTAATCTATCAAGGTATGGACTCCACTAGACCTCTGAAGGTATGCTGTGGTATCTGGCACCAAGCCACCAGTAACAGATCCTTTAAGTCCTGTAAGTTGTGAGGTGGGGCCTCAATGAATCGGACTTGTTTTTCCAGCACATCCCACAAATGCTCGGTTGGATTGAGATGTGGAGGCAAATCGACAACTCCAACTTGTTGTGTTCCTCAAACCACTCATGAACCATTTTGCAGTGTGGCAGGGTGCATTATCCTGCTAAAAGAGGCCATTGCCACCAGGGAATACCATTGCCTTGAAGGGGTGTACTTGGTCAGAAACAATGTTTAGGTAGGTAGTTGGTACATGTCAAAGTAATAACTACATGAATGGTAGGACCCAAGGTTTCCCAGCGGAAACATTGCCCAAAGTATCACACTGCCTCCGCTGGCTTGCCTTCTTCCCATAGTGCATCTTGGTGCCATCTCATCCCCAGGTAAATGACACACAGGCCACCTTCTTCCATTGCTCTGTGGTCCAGTTCTAATGCTCATGTTCCCATTGTAGGCACTTTTGGCGATGGACACGGGTCGGCATGGGCACGTGACTGGCCTGTGGGTAAGCAGTCCCATGTGGAACAAACTTTGATGCACTCTGTGTTCAGACACCTTTCTATCGGAACCAGCGTTAACTTTTTCAGCAATTTGAGGTACAGCAGCTTTTCTACTGATTCGGACTACATGAGCCAGCCTTCACTTCCCATGTGCAACAATGAGCCTTGGCTGCTCAGGGCCCCGTCTCCGGTTCACCGGTTTTCCTTCCTCGGACCAGTTTTGCTAGGTTCGGACCACTGCAGACCGGGAACAAGAGCTGCAGTTTTGGAGTTGGTCTGACCCAGTCGAGTAACCATCACAATTTGGCCCTTGGTAAAGTTACTCATATCCTCACGCTTGCCCATTTTTTCAGCTTCTAACACCTTCA